TTCCACAGACATCCCGTGCCAACCACGTCAAGCTGGAACTGCCGAGTTTATCCCTCAGCGAAGCAGACTCTGAAGATGTCCGCGATGTTGTTCTTGATTATGAACGTCGTCAGCAGCAGCCAATGCCCGTTGTCTCCGAAGCAGCTATCTGTGTGACACCTGAAGAAGTGGGGGAACAGGGGTCAGAACACAACTTCTCCGGTGTCAACTCCAATCGTCCTCATTTTACAGAAACTGGTTTACAGGTATTGGGACTCGCAGTCGCAGTATAGTCAAACACAAAGTAAGATTCTGGAGCCGAAAACAGTTCACCAAGCTTTGACAAGTCAACACAGGGAAAAATGGCGAGAAGCCATGGATCGAGAGTTAGCATCTCTGGAAAAGAGGGGTACTTGGGACTAATCCTGCTGAAGGAAACAAAGGGGAGTAAGATTTTTACCAGAAATGGGTTTTTTCATGTGAAGACAAACGGCGATGGTTCCTTTGAAAAATCAAGGGGCGATGGGTCGTCCGCGGCTTCGAGCAAAATTTTGGACTCGACTACGAATTAACTTTCGCTCCTGCAGACACACTAGCGTCCGCATCCTCCTTTGTATCGCGGCCTACCAGAACTTCAGAATTCGCCAAATCGACGTCGCCAATGCATTTCTATATGCATCTGTTGACGTATAATTCTGGTTGAGTACCCGCATTCTTACGAAACTAACCCTCCGAGCGTCTGCCATCTCAGAAAGTCTCTCTACGACATTAAACAGGCTCCATGACTATGGCAGCAGTATCTACACCGTCAGTTATTAATTGCCGGGTTTCGTCAACTTCCACACGACCAAGGAATGTTTCTACTTACCGACGGTCTTGACTATATCCTACTCGTCGCCTATGTCGACGACTTACTCTACATCAGCACCACGGATTCTCTCGCTACTTCTTTCGAACAAACGCTTCAACAGCATCTACAGATTACCATCACACCTACAGTCACACAGTTTCCTGGACTTAACATCCATCGAACAACAATTTCTATTCATCTTACAGCTTCCAAGTACGCAGCTACACTAGCCGGCATGCTTTAATCTTACACCTTCAAATGTCACCACACCTTACCGATCTCTACCTACTGACTGCAAACCCGATACAACTCCACTCGACAACACTGAACTACAGCTATACCAGCAGCAGCTAGGTTGTCTTCTATTCGCAGCTGTAACGTGTCGTCTGGATCTCGCCTATGCCGCTAGCCAGCTCACGCAATTTCTGCGTCGACCTGAGGGGGAGAATCGGCTAGATCTTCTTCGCGCTCTCCAGTATTTTCATTTCAACGCTTGAAGTTGGACTTACCTATCAAGTCACAACTAAAAAAAACTTTATATCTCAACGGGTACATCCATGCTGACCATGCAGCAGATACCTCAAATCGTTGATCTCGCACCGGCTTTTTCTACCGTCTCGAACCTATCGGCACTATCTCGTGGAATTCTACAAAACAAGAGCTCGTAGCTCTATCATCTGCTGAAGCTGAGTTCATAGCTGCTTGCACTGCTACTCGCGAAGGTCTCTATCTACAAGAGCTACTGGAGGAAGCAAAATTGACGACAAGTACATAGTTCACCCTGCAGTGCGACAACCCAAGTGCAATCAGAATTGCGCACCAACCCGGTTTCACCAACAAGACGAAACACATTTCGCTACGATACTTCTTCGTCAAAGGTGAAGAAGAGAAGGGTAGAATGCGATCGGTCTACGGCTCGACCAATGAAATGGCTGCTGATTTCCTCACTAAGAAGCTGACACGTCAGAAGTGTTGTGGTATATTTCATACTTAGCATTTCTGTAAGTCGTTTATCGATAGATAGTGTCGAATCCTACTGTAGAAGATAAGTCTGTAGGATGACGTCAGCAAATAGCGCTCGTCATAGGACAGTCGTTTCAGTCACGTGAATAGTCGCACCTCTTCATTATCATCTAGGGCGCATAGCGCGATAGTGACGAACACGTACATTAACGAATAGGTACTTTCCTAGAGCTATAAATATTTGTTGTGTTCTTTTTATTATCAACCTTGAGATTTCAACTTTGAGAACTTTAAGACTTCTGCCAAAAAACATATACTCAGGTTCATTCTTACAGACTTCCGCTGTCTTATTAGTCTACTGTTCCAGTAAAGATCCTAGGCTAACACTTGAGGTTTCCAAGTGTTCGTGTTTGCAGATTCTATACTTAGTCTTCTACAACACCTGTCAAATTATTACATGGTATGAGAGCTATCTGTAATCAAGACTACTGTCAACAATGACTGGTTCATCACCAGCACCGTCTGCCGGATCAACTTCCGGAACTACTAGAGTACATGTCTCCACGACTGCCACTGGTCTCTCAGCCTCTGGACCGTTTCCACCGGCTTATGCGCATCTTGGTATGCAGCAGCAGCAGCAGTGTGAGAGTACGACCCCGTTACACCACTTGTCCCTTTTCTTATTTCCTTCCTCGTTCATTTCTCTTTATCTCATCTCATTTGGTTTCCTATTCTCCATTTTCCATTAACCTTTGGTTTATCCTGCTATTATAATTATATCACCGACCAGGCTTGGGATGTACTGGTGCGCTATCTGGCGTAATCCTGCCGTAATCCCTTAAAGCCAATAGCCTCGCGTGGCTATTCGCAGGGTGATTCTATCTTCTAGAAGGGTCTATTCCCTTAGGATAAGATAAACCTGGTTACCTGATGTACTATGGAAGTATAAAAGCACCTTGTACTGATCGATAGTGCAACCTTTCCTCGACACATTCGATCCTGTGACACTTGGTAATCAGAGCTTTTCTCACTCGACCGCGCTCAGCTAAGCAGCAGCAGCGGGGATCCTGCCTCGAAAAACCGTTGGGGGCGACCAATTCGACGCCGATTCTGGTAAGCACCAGCTCCGCGATTTTCGAATTACCCCCTCCGTGCGTGTTTTGAACAGGATGGCAACCTTCGACAACGCCGAGGTTACCCAGCAGCTCTTCACGCGCATCGCAGCCCTTCAGGAGGAAATGCGAGCGGATCGCGAAGCGTGGCGAAACCAGTTCGAGCGAGTAACTCGACTCGCCGGAGCGCAGCACGAGACGACAACGGCGACGACGCAGCAGTCGCAGCAGTTTCTCGAGGCTCCGAAACCGCGCCCACCTGAGCCGTTCGATCCGAGCGATCGAAACTCCGACGCCCGCAGATGGATCGCCGGGATGGAGATCTACTTCGCAGCCGTCGGATGGAGCTCGCCAGTCTGGGACGGACAACGTGTACGACTCGCGGCGACACTGATGCGAGGGCCAGCACTCGAGTGGATTGGCGGCAACAGTACTTTCATCCACGGTGAAGCCACGTGGCAGCAGTTCCGCACCGACCTGCTGAAACGATTCGAGCCGATAAATTCGAGTTTCCTTGCCCGGGAAAAAATTCATCGACACCGACAGTTCGGGAGTGTAGCGCAGTACACGCAGCAGATGGAGGAATTTTATAACCGCATTCCCGATCTGACCGAAGGGGAAAAAGTACAATCGTACCTCGCCGGGCTGAAGACCGAAGTCAAACGACAAGTCGCATCGTCAAACTACGCGAGGTACAGTGACGTCGTTTCGGCAGCGGAGCGCTTCGACATGGTCAACGCCGGAACACGACGGACGCACGTCGGCAGTACGCGACAGGGCGACCGCTCGGCTCACCCCACGTTCGCCGACCCGATGGAAGTCGACAGATTCGAGGGGCGGCCACGTCCGAAAAACACCAACTACACGTGTGATTTTTGCGGGGTGCCGGGTCATCGAATCTTCAACTGCAGCAAAATGAAAGCCGCACGCACAGAGTATCGGGCACGCAACAGTGGCGGAATTCCTTCAGCCAATCAGAAGTAAAAAAACGGGAGTCGCCAGTGATTGCAGATCTAGCTGGCGAAAATAAAAAGATCCGAAAACGGCCGCGGGATTCCGGAAAAATCAACTTCGACGAAGCTGATTCCACGCGAGAAGGAGGAAATGATGGGGGAAAATCTCCACCCCACGACCAGTCCTCGCCAGGGAAAATCGCCGAGGAAAATTACGACTCCGCGAAAAAAGACTCTCCCGAGACAGGGGAACTCCTTGAAGACCCAAGAAATTATAAGAATTCGTTAAAGTTATCTTATAAAGATGCTTTAATGAAAACTTATGAATTTCGAGGGGCGAGAGCCTTGGAGAAATTTCGGGAGGGACTCCAAAAGAAGCAGACAGCTGTGGAGATTATACCGGTACCGGACAACTTGGGGAAAAAATTAAGGAGTGTGGAAAGAAGCCGACCTTTCCACGGAGTCAACGTCCTCTCCCGACACCAGCCCACAACGACTACCCGTTCCCCAGGGAAGACGTCGATGGAGCTGAAGCAGCTCAAGAGGAAGCTGGGGGTCTACAAGAAGCTGCACAAACCCGGAATTCCTTCTCCTACGGATGCATCCAGTTCTTCGGCATCAGTGACGCGCACAGTTGTCAAGGAAACTCCAGACCCTGGAGAAAAGCCGTTCTCCAAGCAGCCTCGGCCAGTTGCCAGCTCAGGAGTAGACAGCAACAGAAAGGTGTGTACGGAGTATTGGGATGTACCCTATGACCCAATCAATGAAACTATCTTTGGGTACTCCGAGCAACGACTGCCCCTCGTGCTCGAGGTCATCTGCAAAGGACGACGCCTCCAAGCACTCGTGGACAGCGGAGCATCACACACCGTCTGCAACAAGGCAGTAATCGACCGACTTCGGGGAGAGTACAAGCCTTCAGGATTCTCTGCAACGATGGTGGACGGCAGCAAGTTACCAGTATACGGCGAAGCAGTGCTACACCTACAAATCGGACCACTGCGCTGGAGACCTGCACTCCCCATCACCAACATCAAAGGGCTTGACCTGATCTTCGGGCGAGACTTCCTGAAAAGATTCAACCCCGAGATCAACTGGGTGAACTGCACCGCAAGCATCTACAACAATGGACGGAGAGTACAGCTACCCAACTGGGACGATACTGGAGATATCCCAGTGGAGACACTCGCACGATTCGAGAAGGACGTGAAGCGGACCGACACCGGGTTCTTGGCGATAGCAACAGAGGTGGAGAATGACGGAGAGAAAGCCTCGAAACCTCCAGAAAAAATCAAGGAATTACTGAAGGAGTTCCAAGACATTCTTCCTGACGATCTTCCGAACGAGCTACCGCCATACCGAACGCATCAACACGAGATCGTGGAGGAACCGGGTTCGAAGCCGACCTTTCGAGCACCATACCGGCTCAGCCCTACGGAGCTGACTGACATGAAAAAACAGATCGAGTATCTCCTAGCCAAAGGACTCATCCGGCCATCCACTTTGCCGTACGGTGCCCCAGTACTCTTCACACCGAAACCGGACGGAAGCCTGCGCATGTGCATCGACTACCGAGCTCTTAACAAGCAGACCATCAAGAATAAATATCCGATATCGCAAATCGATGACCTGCTTGACCAGCTTCGGGGAGCTACGGTATTTTTCAAACTGGATCTGCGGTCCGGATACTGGCAGATACGGATGGCGGACAACTCTATCCACAAAACTGCTTTCCAAACTCGGTACGGATCGTACGAGTATTTGGTAATGCCGTTCGGACTCACGAACGCACCGGCAACATTCCAAGCCGAAATGAACCACATTCTACGACCACTTCTAGACGAATGCGTGGTGGTGTACCTGGACGACATTCTCATCTACTCGCGCGACATGAAGCAGCACGTCGAACACCTGCAACGTGTCTTCGAAATTCTTCGACGGGAACGATTCTACGTCAAACTGTCCAAGAGCGAATTCGCCCTTGAAAAGGTCCAGTTCCTAGGACACATGGTGAGCGCTCGAGGAGTTCACGTCGACCCCAAGAAAATCGAGGCTGTACGCATGTGGAAGACGCCCGAGAACGTGAAGGAGTTGCAGCAGTTCCTAGGCTTCGCTAACTACTACAACAGGTTCGTGCCACAGTATGCGAAAATCGCAGCACCACTCACAAATCTGCTGAAGAAGAACACGCCCTATAAATGGGAACCAAAGCACCAGGAAGCCGTGGAGCAGCTGAAACAAGCACTCACGTCCGCACCGGTACTCATCTTGCCAGATCCCGAACGGGACTACGTAATCGAAGCTGACGCCAGCGACCAGGCAGTGGGGGCAGTCTTAATGCAAGACCAGGGGAATGGACTGCAACCGATCGCCTACCTCAGCAAGAAACTACACGGAGCAGAACTAAACTACCCGATACACGACAAAGAGGCCCTTGCCATCGTCATCGCCTTCAAAGCATGGAGATGTTATCTTGAAGGACGAAGAACAACCGTCTACACCGACCACTGCAGCCTGAAATATTTGAAGACACAACCCAATCTTTCCAGGCGGCAGGTCCGGTGGATCGACTTCCTCGAGACACACTTCCACTACGACATCGTGTACAAGCCCGGCCACAAAAACAAAGCAGATGCTCTTAGCCGGCCTGCACACGTTGCCGCCATTCAGATTGAAGGGATGAATCCACTACTCAAGGGACTCTTCACACACGGGTACGCCATCGACCCCGAAATTCCCTTGGCAGAAAAGCGACATCTGCTATAGTGGGACAGTGACATCGCGTACCGGAAAGGATCAACAAAAATCTGGGTACCCAATTACCCTCCTCTGCGCCAGTTACTACTCGAAGAATACCACGACGTCCTGTACGCCGGACACTTCGGTAGCAACAAGACGCTCACCGGTATCGCCAAACACTACTACTGGCCCCATATGGCAGACGACGTCCAGAAATTCGTCACATCGTGTGATACATGTCAGCGGATGAAGAGCAGCAAGCAGAAAAAGGCGGGACTACTGCAGCCTCTTCCTGTCCCAGAACAGCCATGGCAAGTGGGTAGCCTCGACTTCATCACCGGGTTACCACCTACCACCAGCAGTCATGACGCAATCCTTGTCGTCATTGACAAGTTCTCCAAAATGGGACACTTCATCCCGACACACACGACGACACGCATCGAAGAGACAGCACAGCTCTTCGTTCGTCACATCATCTCACAGCATGGCATCCCAACCACACTCATTTCCGACCGAGACCCCAAGTTCACCAGCAAGTTCTGGAAGGAACTTATGTCTCTCCTCGGGACCAAACTCGCCATGTCATCTGCTTACCATCCGCAGACAGATGGACAGACCGAGCGCCTCAACCAAATTGTTGAGCAACTCCTCCGAGCAGCCTGCAAGGACGAGATCTCCAAATGGGACTTGCACCTGCCCGTACTAGAGTTTGCTTACAACAATGCTACACATGCCGCTACTGGACAGACGCCGTTCTTCCTCTGCTACGGACGCCACCCACTCACACCACAGAAACCGACAGCATCAGCTAGAGTCCAACCAGCACATGATTTCATCACAACCATGCATCAGCTTTGGGATCGGACCCATAAGCGCCTCCTCGACATTCAGCAGCAACAAAAGCGCCAGGCCGATCGCCATCGCAACGACCACACCATCACGGTGGGAGACCAGGTGCTTCTTGACACCCGCAACCTGGACATCAGCCACCTCCCATCTAAACTTCGACCTCGCTTCTGCGGGCCTTTTCTCGTTGAAGCACAGGTCACTCCTGTTACCTTCTGCTTACGCCTGCCCGCTACCTGGAAGATTCACAACGCCTTCCATGTCCAACTTCTGAAGCCCTTTCGGGACCCGAACACGATTTTCGTGGGACGCCAACCGCCGCCGCCACCGCCCGTCCTCGTCCAGAATGAACCCGAGTACGAGGTCAAGTCCGTGCTCGCACACCGCCGTCGTCGGAATGGCACCGTGGAGCTTCTCATCCGTTGGAAGGGTTATGATCCTTCTGAGGACAGCTGGGTACCTGAGTCCGACATGGGTAACGCCCGTCGTCCTCTGCATGACTACCTTGTCAAGCAGGGTGTTACTTCTACCACCCAGCTTTGAGGGGGGGAAGTGTGAGAGTACGACCCCGTTACACCACTTGTCCCTTTTCTTATTTCCTTCCTCGTTCATTTCTCTTTATCTCATCTCATTTGGTTTCCTATTCTCCATTTTCCATTAACCTTTGGTTTATCCTGCTATTATAGTTATATCACCGACCAGGCTTGGGATGTACTGGTGCGCTATCTGGCGTAATCCTGCCGTAATCCCTTAAAGCCAATAGCCTCCCGTGGCTATATGCAGGGTGATTCTATCTTCTAGAAGGGACTATTCCCTTAGGATAAGATAAACCTGGTTACCTGATGTACTCTGGAAGTATAAAAGCACCTTGTACTGATCGATAGTGCAACCTTTCCTCGACACATTCGATCCTGTGACAAGCAGCAGAATCCGTCTTCTGTCAGTACTCCAGGGATGTCATCAACTGCCCCTGCAGCACAATAACAAGCAACAGGCATCAGCACAACCACCGTTTTCAACTCAGTCTTAGTCTTCTGCAACACCTGTCAAATTATTACATGGTATCATACTATATCTTCTGCGTTCAGCGGAATGAGCCTTGACGGCTCAAGTTATATGCGTGGAGCCTCAGCTCCAAGTACTGGTTCATTCGCTTTCTCACCTTTTGTGCAGCAGCCGCAGCCACAACATCAGCAGCATCCCTTTTACATCTTTGGTCATTCCCCTGCTCAGCAACTGCAACAGCAACAACAGCAACAACAACAGCACTAACAGCAACAGCCACAACAACCAGGTATCATTCTTCAACCACCAAATTTGCTTAACAGTACACAGATCAAGACAACCATACCTTTCAACGGAGTGGATTTTTACTCCTGGAGTTTCGAATTTGAGCTTCTTGCGCAGTCCGCTGGGCTCTAGCCTTTCTTCACTGGCGAGTTTACGTATCCTGTTACGGAAACACAACTGGAGCAGCAGAGTTTCTTGCACGCCTCTCTCGGGGCATATACTGTTCTTGTACGGAACCTATCGCCGAAGGAGCAACTTGGTGTCCGATCATTTCATTCAAGCTTTACACCAGCTGAAACTGCATGGAACCACTTGAAGATACATGGCAAAAGATACAATAACGGTGAGTAAGATTCTCTCGCAATTGACAAGTGTGCAGATGATGACAAACGAAAACATCATGGACTATGTCAACCGCGTTCGCATACTACGTGATCAACTGGAGAAAAGTGGGGGATACTTCCCTCGTGAGATGTATTGCACGGTCCTTCTTACTGGCTTTGGACCCGAATGGCGACAAACGCACACCTTTCTGCGCATGAACCCGAACCTCTGCGAAGCTGAAATTTCGTCGTATCTTCAAGCAGAACAGCAAGATCTCCACCTGCAATCACAACGAAATCAGAAAAAGGGGATACACTTGAGTTTTTACTCAAATCCAGAATCGCACCATCCTCATCCCCCGAAATATCCCTTCTTCCATTTCTGTAAGAAACCAGGACACACTTACCAGAATTGTCGCAGTCGACATCAAAACCGACGCAACACTCCACAGCCTTATCATCGCTCGCAGCAGTTACCGAAGCCACATCAGCCCGCGTAGCAGTCGACGACCCAAACACAGCAGATGCCGAAAACGCCGCAAAATCCGTCTCCGTCACAGCATCGTCCTCTGGTCTTTGCATCTGCAACATCAGGGAAAGGGGTCTTTGGATGTGTTACCACAGTTGATGTTTCCGAAGCAGATTTCGAGACACGACTTGAAGAAACCACAAGTGCTGAAGGCATTCCCTTACCTCAAGTTTACGCTAACCTTGCTCGAATAATTTCAGGTCCGAATACTTGGTATCTCGATAGCTGCTGCGGTTGGCACATGTGTTCCGCTGAAACAAGCTTCATCACCAACCAGCGTCCACTTCGTTGTCCGATACCTGTCACAGTCGCAAACGGACAAACTATTATGGCACGATCTATCGGGAGTATCATGCTCGAATCAATCGACACGAGATATTCACTACACGTTACCAATGTTCTTATCGTCGCTGGGCTTGGCTTCAATCTTCTCTCCACGGCTCAGCTCCTGGCACACAAAATACGTACTCAAGGCAACTGTGATACAATGGATCAGGAGTTATGGCACAGTTTATCAAATACTTACCTTGGTCGTGCCGCCACTCAACATGGCGTATCCGTTCTTCAGTTCGCGGCACAGGGAACTTCTGGAGATTCTGAACGTGTCCTTGCACTTGGTTCCTGGGATCACCCAGAAGCAACAGATTATCAGCACGTGGATATTGACTTTCGAGCAACTACTGTACCAACGGCTTCTCAAACTGCAGCCGCCGTACTTACAGCATTGGATACCTGGGAGTTCAATACCGCCGACGAAAGCGCCACCGCGTGGCGAACGTTTTATAATACCCGTGCAGCCTTCCAAGGAACTCCAGCACCACTTTGGGGAGAAATTAGTGGACTTGCAGCTGATGAGCCTGACGTCGTTGAAGAAGTCGAAAAGGAAGAAGTCGCCGAGCAGCCCTGTTCAACAGTAGCTGTCGCCGAAACACCTGCCACAACATCAACAGGAGCAGCATCAGAAGTTGCAATCGCAACTGCAGCAGCACCTTCAAATGCTCCGTTACCACTTACACGTTGAAGGAGAAGTTGACCGGGCACCAGCGCTTTCTCCTTTTATCATTTCTTCTTTCTGTTGTGTGATGTCATCATATGCTATCACATTCTGTCTGCCTCCCATCCCTTGTTTCAATTTGCATGTATGGTTTGACTGTGTGTGAAAGAATTTGTGTGGTGTGTGTTTTGGAGTTTGGGAATGTGTTTTGTGTTATTCTGTCTGAGCAGGTATTTCGTGATAGATCTTGAGAAGATCTTTCCGACACAACGAGAATCCCTTCAATCGGAGCAAGAACGCGAAAGCTATGAAGATTCAAAGTTCATGAGCTTGCGTTACAATTGCGGCGGTTACAAAGTGAAGTTGTGGGGTGACTTTATATGGAGTTGGGACCTTTGGGGTTGGGAAATTCGTCACTCTACTGTTGCAGCTGCAAAATTGGTTGGGAACCACCAAGCTAGGTTGGCAAGGGTGGCCAACTTGGTTGGATTGGTTGGGAAGGGACAAATGTCAAAGATGGGGTTCCTATAGGGAGGGAATCTTTGTGCTTATGAGGTTTCCTTGGTTGGGGACTCTCTTGGGACCTTCCCTCTCATCCCTCTCTCCTATCCCAACCTTTCTCTTGCTCGTCTAATTCCTTGTGAGATTCTTGAACTTTGATTGAACTTTTGAGATTGAGTTGAGTTCTCCTCCTACAGCTTACCCCCTAATGCGTCGAAAGCCATAGCGTCGCGAATACTTCATTAATCAACGTGATTCGAATTTGGAATGGTAGCTGAGATTAAGAGCTACAACATATCCAAGTTTCGCGACATTCCAACAGCTAGTTTTTTGTCGACGTTGTTTCTTATGAAGACGACTTTTCTGTCCATAATTTCGGATTTATATTTTGAGTAATTCTAGCTCCTGAGTTCACCTAGACTCCGTCCTTAATTCTAACAAGTGGTATCAGAGCGATATTAAGGAAATTAAGAGGAGTCTACAGAAGTTTGAAGACCCTTCTAGACCCACCATGGCCTGTGGGTGTGCCTAAGTGGTGTTCTAAAGGTTGGATGTGTCTTCCGTTAAGGGGAAACTCTGCCGAAATTTCGTGGACGCCGACGCTTGTGAAAATATCACGGGAGCTGAGTGTGGACAGCAAAGGGGAGCTGAATTTCGTCATTTCTCATGGAGAAGATGAATGAGAGAGGAGGAGATGCTAATGGAAGAGGAGCTGTACCTGAGAAGACAAGTGAGCCGCCGCCATCAAAAGTTGAAGCTTTGGATGGCTCCAACTATAAGGAATGGAGCAGTCGGATGAGGAGTTCCTTCAAACGCTACAAGCTACTGAAGATTGCTATTGGGGAAGAGAAGATGCCAGAAGAAGGCGAAGCACGTGAACGGTGGATTGAGAAAAGCGCGGTGCTCTTCGACCTCATCCTTCAATCGGTCAACAAGGAGGTGTTCGAGCACATCAAGGATCTTGTGGAAGCGGATGATTCGGGTCCAAGGGCATGGAAACTACTACGTGATGTGATTCAGCCCAACACTCTTCCGATGGTGATCGTGCTCGAGAAGGAACTTGTTGCCATCTCCATGCGACCAGGGGACGATGTGAAGCCGGTCCTTGACAAGATCAAGGACACCTATGCAAGGATGGCAGCAGCGGGCAGCAGTGTATCTCAGCTGCAGCAGTGCACCAAAATCATCTCGGTGTTGGACAACTCTTGGGACAACCTCATCCCCACCCTCAACTCTCAACAAGATCAATGGACACCTGAGTGGCTAAGGCAGCAGATTCTGCAGGAGGACTTCCGCAGATGCGATGTGGGAGGTGGTGCTTCCACTAAGACTGCTGAGGGGTATGGAGCTGCAGGGCGCGGCAGAGAAAGAGGGGGTTGGAGAGGCCGAGGCCGTGGGAGGAGCTTTGGCAGAGGTAGAGGCCGAGGTGACTATAATAAGGGGCATGGGAGCTCCAGTGGCAGGGGGAGTACCAGAATGGAGGGCACCTGCTGGTACTGCGAGAAGGTCGGCCATCCGTGGTTCAAGTGCTTCAGCAGGCCGGAGGGATGGGCACCTCCAGGCATGAAGCCGCCAAGTGGTGAACGCGCACAAGGTGGCGCTGTGCAAGGCTCAGGTGCACAAGGTGAAGGTGCACAGGGTAATACCTATCCTGGGATGTTTCTCATGGTTGAGGATGTGCATGGGCATGAGGGTGATGTGGGATCTGTGGGAAAGGCTGTGATGCACCCTCTCACGCAGTGGGTGATTCATTCAGGTTGCACCAGTCACATGACCCCACGGGCAGATTTGTTTGATGAGGTAAAACCCCCTGTGAAGATTAAGTATGTGGCAGCAGCGTCAGGTGCTTTGCTCCCTGTGAGTGGTGTTGGAAATGCCAAGGTTAAGGGAGCTAATGGGGAGCTTGTGGGGCTTGGGAATGCTCTGCTGGTTGAAGGTTTGTCTGCTAACCTTCTCTCTGTGCGGCGACTGCAGAAGAGCAAGGCCGAAGTGACCTTTGGACCAACCAGCTGCCGTGCTAAGCTTGGGAAGAAGGTGCTGTGGAGTCTGGAAGAGGAGACCAGCTGCATCAAGGACCTGTGGCAGCTGCCCATCATCCCTTGGAATGGGAAGACTCCAACAGCAGCAACGGCAGCAGCGGCAAAGGCAACAGCAGGAGGAGATGCAACTGCACCAACTGATGGGGTCCTGGAAGCAGTCAAGAAAGTGCAGCAGCAGCTGACACATGGTGAGGTGCTTGCTGGTGTGGATGCGAGTGCGGCATGGGCTAAGGCTTCATCAAGGAGTGGTGAGGCCGATTGGGAGACATGGCATGAGAGGCTGTGTCATGTGAACTTCCCTATGCTGCAGAAGTTGGTGAAGGATGGGAGCCTGAAGGGCTTGGAGGTGAAAGGGGGAGTGAAGGAGATTGGGAGCTGCCGTACATGCTTGGAGACCAAGTTTTCCAAGTTCCCCTTCAACAGCACTACAGGACCAGCCAAGTCCCCACTTACACTTGTGCACATGGATGTGGTGGGGCCCACAAGAGCCCCTTCCCTCTCAGGTAGCCGCTATTTCTTGACAATTGTGGATGACCACACTCGGGCAGTGTGGGTTTACCCTTTGAAGAGCAAGGGGGAGGTGGCAGCGGCTGTCCTTAAGGAGTGGATGCCTAGAGCTCAGAGGGAATGCGGACACAAGGTGAAGGTGATCCGCAGTGATAATGGTGGGGAGTTCATTGGAGCTGATTTTGAGGGGGAGTTGAAGAGGAAGGGGATCCAGCATCAAATAACAGTGCCCTACAACCCACAGCAGAATGGCGTGGCTGAGAGGTTCAACAGGACCCTGCAGGAGGGGGCACGCACTCTCCTTGGGCGTGCAGGGCTGCCTGATCCGTTTTGGGTGTCTGCACTGAGGCAGGTCGCCCTTGTGAAAAACAGGGTGCTGGCCACAGTTGGGGATAAGGAGTGGATCTCGTATACCAAGTGGTATGGGAGTGCTCCAGCTGTGAACATGCTGAGGGCATTTGGGTGCATGGTGGTGTTTCATGTGCCCAAAGAGAAAAGGGGGAAGTTGGAGGCTTCTGGAAGATGGGGTGTGCACTTGGGGATTGCAAAGGATCACAAGGGGTGGCTGCTGTGGGACTTGACCACCCAGAAGCTGACAGTGTCAAGGGATGTGAAGTTTCTTGAGTCCCTATACTATAAGGAATGGAAGCAGCAGCAAAAGAAGCTTCCATCTACACCGCTCATTGTGGAGGCAGATGAGGTGCAGCGGCCTTCAAGACAGGTGGAGGTTGCAGTGTCTGAGGAGGAGATGTCTGGGGTGACTGAGGAAGGGGGAGCAGCTGAAGTGGAGCAGCAGCAGCAGCAGCAGCATGAGTCTCCACCTCGAGTTGCACACCCGCCTGAGCGACCTAGGAGGGATGTGTGCCCTCCGGTGAGGCTGACCTATGGGGGAAGAGGCAAGCCGAATGTGGTGCAGGCTGGGAGTTTGGTTGAGCAGATTGAGGAAGATGAGATCGCTCACTGCTACTGGGCACCAATTCCTAAGCCCAAGACTCGAGAAGAGGCCTTGAATGGACCAAATGGGGAGAAGTGGAAGGCGAGTGAGAATGAGGAGTTCGGGTCCCTGATTGAGAACGAGACATGGGACCTGTGTGACTTGCCTCCTGGGAAGAAGGCAATCACTTCCAAGATGATCTACAGGCACAAGTATGGACCTGAAGGGGAGCTGACCCGCTACAAGTCTAGGCTTGTGGCACGGGGGTTTCAGCAGACAAAGGGGAAGGACTATGATGAGGTGTTTGCTCTTGTGGGGAAAGGAACAACACTGAGTGTGCTGTTGGCGATAGCTGCACTCCTGGGATGGAAGATACGGCAGATGGACATTGTGACTGCCTTTCTGAATGGGATCATTCTGGAGGAGGTGTACATGAAGCAGCCAGAGGGGCTGGATGATGGGAGCGGCAAGGTCTGCAGGCTGAAGAAGGCCATCTATGGCCTTAAGCAGGCGCCTCGTGCATGGTATCACAAGTTGGAGGAGGCACTGCTGGCTGGGGGTTTCAAGAAGAGTGAGTGTGACCCCAGCCTGTTCCTGCTGCAGGAGAAGGATGAAATCCTCATGCTCTTGGTGTATGTGGATGATATCCTTCTCTTTTCTGCATCAACTGCTTTGCTGGACAGCGCAGAGCAGATGCTGGAGATGCAGTTCAAGTGTTCCAAGATGGGTGAGGTAAAGTACTACCTGGGGATGCATGTGGAGAGAGATGTGGAAAAGGGTGTGCTGAGGTTGCACCAGAGGAAGTACTGTGAGGGGCTCGCTGAGAAGTATGGGCTACAAGATGGGGGAAAGCCAGCAACACCACTATCTTCGGGGTTTACTGTGGAGCCATGTGCTGATGAGGAGGTAGTGGGTGAGAATGAAAGGAAGCTAATTCATTCGATGGTTGGGTCGCTGAACTATGCTGCAAATCATACACGGCCTGACATTGCATTTGCTACATCACGGCTGGCTAGCGTGGTTTCACGCCCTAGTCATGAGCAGTTGGAAGCGGTTGGTCCGCTATGTGAGCGCTACGACATCAGTGGGATTGGAGTACTGTGGAGTGAGGCAGCGGTTGCAGAGAGGTGCTGCAGATGTGAAGAGTGGAGAGATGCTCTTGAGTTGCTATACCGACGCTAGCTTCAACTCAGTGAAAGCGGATGGCACCAGCATTGGGGGTTATGTGTGCTTGCTGGGAGGTGGTGCTGTGAGCTGGCGCAGCAAGAAGCAGAATGAGGTGGGATTGTCCTCATGTGAGACTGAGTACATGGCCTTACACCATGGAGCCAAGGAAGTGGTGTGGCTGAGGCGCTTGTTAGAGGAGTTGGGAGTTGGTCAGAAGGAGCCGACGGTGATCTTCTATGACAATGAGTCTGCAGTGAAGCTGGCCAAGAATGCTTGTCTGCATGGGCTGACAAAACACATAAGGCCTAAATGGCATTGGGTGAGGAGACTCCTTTATAAAGAGGTGCGGCTGGAGATAGTGAAGACCCATCAGCAGGCAGCGGATATTTTCACTAAGCGTCTGGCAGAGGCGGATCATTGGAAGGGCATGAAGCTTGCTGGGATGAGTGTGCATTGAGTATGCATGCTTGAGATGTTGGTATGGTGGATGATGGTTGGCAGCCAGAGGGGGAGATTGTTGTGTGATGTCATCATATGCTATCACATTCTGTCTGCCTCCCATCCCTTGTTTCAATTTGCATGTATGGTTTGATTCTGTGTGAAAGAATTTGTGTGGTGTGTGTTCTGGAGTTTGGGAATGTGTTTTGTGTTATTCTATCTGAGCAGGTATTTCGTGATAGATCTTGAGAAGATCTTTCCGACACAACGAGAATCCCTTCAATCGGAGCAAGAACGCGAAAGCTATGAAGATTCAAAGTTCATGAGCTTGCGTTACAATTGCGGCGGTTACAAAGTGAAGTTGTGGGGTGACTTTATATGGAGTTGGGACCTTTGGGGTTGGGAAATTCGTCACTCTACTGTAGAAGCTGCAAAATTGGTTGGGAACCACCAAGCTCGGTTGGCAAGGGTGGCCAACTTGGTTGGATTGGTTGGGAAGAGACAAATGTCAAAGATGGGGTTCCTATAGGGAGGGAATCTTTGTGCTTATGGGATTTCCTTGGTTGGGGACTCTCTTGGTACCTTCCCTCTCATCCCTCTCTTTTATCCCAACCTTTCTCTTGCTCCTCTAATTCCTTGTGAGATTCTTGAACTTTGATTGAACTTTTGAGATTGAGTTGAGTTCTCCTCCTACAGCTTACCCCCTAATGCGTCGAAAGCCATAGCGTCGCGAATACTTCATCAATCAACGTGATTCGAATTTGGAACGGTAGCTGAGATTAAGAGCTACAACATATCCAAGTTTCGCGACATTCCAACGGCTAGTTTTTTGTCGACGTCGTTTCTTGTGAAGACGGCTTTTGTGTCCAGAATTTCGGATTTATATTTTGAGTAATTCTAGCTCCTAAGTTCACCTAGACTCCGTCCTTAATTCTAACACTTTCTATACTAACGCCGATTTCTACCTGCGATCATCAAGACACAAAGCCACAGAAGATATTTGGCATCAGCGGTTAGGATATCCATCGCAGGGGATTCTTAATCATTCAATACGAGCAGCAGTTCTGGATAAAAACAGTCTTCTTTTACCTGACGGCATGGAGATGAAGCCGCAGTCCTGTCCCATGGTTTGCACCACGTGTCCGGTTGCCAACCTTATGCACGATCCATTTCCAAGTCATTTTCTTGGCTCAACACGTTATAAACTGATGCAGAAAGTCTACAGCGACAGACTAAACTTACCTGAAGCAGGACCTAAAGACGAGCAGTACATGATAACATTCATCGAAGCATCTACACGCTATGTTTGGACAGCCAACCTTCCCGCTCGGTATCTCGCTCATTCTGTCTTCGTCGCATGGCTCGCCGTTGCTGAAAGAGAGTCTGGCGTGAAACTGCAAGAATTCCAGAGTGATGGTGCAGGGGAGTACACCAGCAACACTTTCACAGAATACCTTTAGACTCTCGGCATCAAACGGAAGCTGTCACTGCCGCATGCACACCAACAGATGGGGGTAGCAGAGAGGATGAACCGAACTCTACAAGAGAAGATGCGTGCTCTGCTGACGCAGGCAGCTCTTCCTCCTTGTTTTTGGCCGTATGCGATGGACCACGCCGTGCTGTTACACAACCTTCTTTCTTCAACATCCCTGCCCGAGTTCTCTTCTCCACACCTGCAGTGGACACGTACAGTGGGAAGTACCAAACTTTTACGAGTTTCGGGTGTGTCGTGTAGTTTCGTCCTCCAACTGCAGCACTCGGCAAATTTTCCGAACGACCAAAATGGGGGGTACACTTCGGCATCGAAAAACAGTATCACGCATGGAAGATTTTGGATCTTCGCTCCAACCAAATCATCCCATCACGTGATTGCCTCTTCTATGAAAGACTCACCTTGCCCGTTTCTCGTGCCCACCAGGCAGCAGCTGCCAACCCCGCCAGGCTGTTTGACGGCTCGCGTGCATTTGCAACTGACGAAGCCGAAGCTGATGTACAGGACGAGGACGTTTCTGAAGCTTCCGAAGCTGCCACAACAGACACTCCCGAACCTGTCACCTCGACCGGCATGCTTGAATTTATTCCTCTTGCCGATGCTGACCAGGATGATGTTCGCGAAGTTCACCTCAGTTATGAACGCGATCGCCAACAGCAGCCGATGCCCGCCGTCTCCGACGAAGCAGTTCGTGTTACACCTGACAAAATTGGGGGGGAAGAAGGACCAGAAGAAAATTTCGCAGGTGCAAACGAGGAACGTCCGCATTTTACAGATTCCGGCTTACAGATACTTGGATTTGCAGTAGCAGTACAATACAACGACAGTAAGATACCTGAACCAAAAACCGTTCGACAAGCTCTTACGAGTCCTCACCGAGAAAAATGGTGCGAAGCCATGGACAAGGAGCTAGCAGCTCTCAAGAATCGTGGCACATGGGATTTAATACCGACAACAGAAGTAAAAGGGAAGAAGGTGCTCACCGGAAA